ATCTCCCCTGAGAGCCTCCTCTTCCCCAGACTAACCAGTCCCAGCTCCATCAGGTGTTCTCCTCATAAGTCTTGTGCTCTGGACTCCTTACCAGCTTTGTTGCCCTTTTCTGCACATGTTCCAGGGCTTTAATGTCTTTCTTGTAGCGAGGAGCCCAAAACTGAACACAGTATTTGAGCCTCACCAGTGCTGAGTATAGAGGGATGATCGCTTCCTGCTCCTGCTAGGTTTGCATTTCTGACACAAGCCGGGATGCCATTGGCCTCCTTGGCCACCTGGGTGCACTGCTGGCTCGTGTTCAGCTGACCATTGACCAATACCTCCAGCTCCTTTTCCTCTACACAATCTTACGGCCACTCTGCCCCAAGCCTATAGTGTTGCCTGGGGTTGTTGTGACCAAAGTGCAGGACCTGGTACTTGGTTTTGTTCAACTTCATCCTGTTGTCCTTAGCCCAGTGATCCAGCCCTGTGTAGGGCCTTCCTACCCCCAAAACAGATTGACAATTCCTCCCGACTGCACTTCTTTGGCTAAAATAAATAAGGAAATGTCACTGCTGTGTATGAATGCGTCATGGACAAAATGCCAGCAAGGGAAAAGAGCTAATCAGCCAAAGAACAGGACTGACACAAGTACTGGCTGTATTGGGTTTGGGTTTAGGATGAAGTCAGGAGGACTTTCTTGTCATTAGAACAACAAAGTTTTGCAGCAGTCCTTTAAGAACTGTAGCTGGCTTAGAAACTGTAAGGCTTCTAGTGGAAAAAATATGAGGCTGCCCTCAGTAGTTAAACTATTCTTATAGGAAAAGCCTGGGAGAGGGATGCAGAGCTCTATTTGTTCATTACAATTGCTGAAGGCCTCCTGCTGCTAGCTGTAGCCTCCTGTGGGGCTCCTGTCTGTTTAGTCTCAGACAGATTTTGTATTATTGAAACTTTCTGTCTTTCAGTTACTTCCTGACAATGGCTTTTTTTTCCCTTCAGTTAGTGATTTGGATCTCGTCCATCCTTCTGGTTGCTAATCATATCCATCTTGTGAGATGCAAACACTTGCTGCTAAGCCAAGAGGAAAAAAAAAAAAAGGCAGGGTAAAGTATAATACAGATTTGGGATATTTGTTTGCTAGATCAGAAAATAGAAACAGTGACAGCTGTTAACAGCTTGAACAAATTGTTTGTAGTTGTTCCTTACCAAAGAAATATGTTAAACCTTTCCCAGTTTTGCCTTATGCTCTTTTTTTTTCCAAGCTGTTTATTAATAAAACTAGCAGTGATGATAACAGATTGGTTTTCCACACAGCCATGTGTGAAAGTATCTTTAAAAAGATTTACCCCAGTAAAATTCCACAGTGTACTTAAATTTCTCATAACCCTGCATGACTATCAGCCAGTATATTCCTGTTGTAGTGCATTTATTTATTTCATCTTGGCACTGTAAGGTAGGTAGATGATAATCCTACTGAATAGAGGAGCAGCGGCCAGGATTTGGAAGGTAGATTTAAACCCACTCTAGTTCTGGTATGGATTTGTTTTTTTCAAATTCTAGACTTCTCACCTACTGAATGGATGAGCCCTTATATATCATGAGAAAGAGTTAATCTACTAAGACAGTTTAGAGCATTGAAGGAGATGAAGAGATTGTTTATTAGGATCTGGTATGGTTAGTGTGTCAATAGATTTATCTGCATAAAACGTATTTCTAGTTGTAGTTCATTTTCTTATTTATGTCCCTTCTTTACAGAAGATATTTAGGAAAAAGGAAAAAAAAAAGATCAAGGGAAAATCAGGACTCTGTAATACAGTTGTGTCAAATTAACATGGTAAGTGAACTAAATTTTCAGCTTCCAAGAAAAAAACTGTCCAGTGCACCATTTTTTAGAGCTCAGTATAAGTATTGGTGTCAGTGGATTCAGAGGACTTGAAGATCTGCGAAGAGCTTGTCTACCAGGTGAAGGTGCTAATCACTGTCTGCTCATAGGACACGTGTTAAACAAATGCACCTTGGTTTAGTTAATTAAGATAGGAAACTGAAGATAGGCTTCCAGGGCTTAATTTTCAAACACTTTACATACTTGAAATCAATTTATATGAGTGATATATAGGTGTAAACATGCAGATGATCTGCACTTCACCCTTAATGTTATTGTTCTTCCAGACATAAGCTGGTAATTTCTTTCCGAAGCATTTTGGGTTTGGGAGAATATTGATACTGGATAGATAGAAGAATAAGTCTGCATTCCTTAACGTTTCTTTAAGTAATGATTAACTTGAATAAAGATTATCACGTCTGTAGGTAATGCATGCTGAGTATCACAGATTATTTAGTGATACACTTGAAGTGTTTGAAAATCTTAACTGGGTAGAATTTTTAAAAGAGTGTATTTAGGCCCTCTACTGATCATTCTGAGAATAGGAAATAAGAAAAGCAACCCTGCAATGCTAAAATGCTGGCAAAGCTGGTCTTTTTGGAAACGGGAAGATAAAGATAAGATGAGAATAGAACTAAAACCTGTACTAAATAGACAAAACCAGTCTCTAGTGTTATTTTGGGAAGATCTTGGAAAACAAACAAACAAAAATAGCAGCTGTGGTAAGAACAGGTTATCCTGTTTTGAGATGGAGGCAAACAAAATCCATTAAAAAAAATGACAAGTTTGCCAAAAGGCCTTATTGGAATGCTCTTTTTTCCTTAGATTAAAGAAAATGTATTTAAAATCCAGTGCCTTCTGTATTTTTTAGTGCATTATGATTATTTTATGTATTTCTTTTCAGGCAGTGATTGAGAAAAAACTGGTTTGGATTGCTGCTTCAGGCTGGAATACTTGTATTCTGTAGTACTTTGGGTTAGACCCAAGGGCAAATCCCAAGTAGTGATACTTGTCAAATCTTTGAGCTTTTGAGATTCAATTGAGAATGTCTTTTGTGGCCAAGTAATCAGGCAGCTCTGAGTACGAGCTGATACATATTCTGAGTATATCAGATTATATATGCTATGTTTGGAAAAGCTGCTTGAAAGTGCTGAGTCTCTGAGCACTGCTTAGCATCTCTTTCTCCTCTAAACTCAAAAATAGGTGTATCAGGAAATGTTTTGTTTTTAGTGTTTGATTGTAACATGAATTACTGTGTCTAGAGCTATTTATTTGAAATTATTTGCTATCTTTTCTTATTGTACACCATTAATTTCTATAGATTAACGTCGTAGCTCCTTCAGTGCAATTCCTGCACCACACCTCGTGTGCTTTCAGCTTCCTAAAGCTGAGCTAGTAAGTCACATCAGGTCTTTATTAACTAATGTGTAATTACAGTGCTTTGAAAATGCAGTGTCAGGCAAGCATTAGAACTTTCAGAGGTGGGCCAATGTAGGAACATTACAAAATGCTATGAGGAGAAAATGATACAATAAATACTGTATCAGTATTAAACTATGGGAGAATTTTAGAAGGAAAAAAATTATCAGGATGGTTTTTTTTTTTATTTCTGAACAGCATGCTACTGTGATTCCTGATAGAAGTATTTTCAAGAGAAAAAGCAGGAAGTGTCAACAAGCCATTTTAAAATGTGTATCTGTATTAGGAAAGTGCTGGTAAAACATTTATTGATTCATCAGCTTCCTTCCAGAGCTCTCATCCTCACAGATGTACTCAGCAGGAATTCTTCCAGTTTATTGCAGGGAGAAAAACAAGTTTTCTTTTGAAATCCAGCTACTGGTTTTGGTTGGAGCCGAAAGTTCTGACAACCCTGCACAGGATGGTGACTGCCAGCTACTTATGAAAGTAGGAACCAGGATAGTAATAGTTTTCTGTGAAGATTTAAAGCTGCTCTAGCAACTGGAACTTGGGTGTTGCAGTGAATGAGCTGCGCTCTTAGCTGGGTGGTGGTTATTAGCTGATGCTGAAACCAATTATAGCAGATTTGGTACCGATCCAAGTGATGTCTTGAATTTCATCACTCCTGAAAACACACATTGGGTAGTAGGGAGTTGTTGTGGACTGTAATTTCAGCAAGTAGTATTACTTGTTGTTGAAGTAATAGCTATGTGTTTGTGTTTTTTCTTTTTTTTTAATTTCTTCTCATGGTTCATTTGAGCCTTAGAACTCATAGTCTGTATCTGTACTACTAAGTAAGCCATCGAGGGCTCTCTGACCCTTAAAACCAGTGGCATAGCGCAGCTCCCTTCACTTCGCCTGATCCTTCTTTTTCCTCCAAAACAAGGTGACCTCTGTTTAGCCTGGTGCACAAACAGATTGCTGGCTTAGACAAAATAGGTGAGCTAGCCAGCACCAGCCAGTTGCTTGACACTTTGGCCGTCTACTGTTTGCTAGTATAGGCTGAGATACGGAGTATCTGAACTACTCTTTGGTGCTTTCCAAAATCCTGTTTTTCTTTTCCATAATGTGCAACTGATTGCTGCTCTTGTCTGATTTGTCTCATTCCTGAGAAGGGATAAGGTGCAAGACCATAACATTGAATACCAGATAATCTGTTATAAAACATCATTACCTTCTAACTGAACAGCTGAGCCCTTTTGTGTCTTGGTTACCACAGATAAGTGACTGCAGCATGTATATCAAAATCAAGGTGCATGAAAAATAGTGAGACAGGAAGAAAGTGGAAAAGCATTATATGATAATCAGTGTTGCATTACTCAGTCCATTGGAAGACACTTGAGTACCAGTGTACTCAAGAGGGTTGGGGAAACTCATTAAAGCTGAGGCACAACTGATCCCCAGGGTGAAGTTTTGCCTGTGTAACACTTGCAATTAGCCATGCTTACTAAAGTGGATCGTGCAATTGACAAATGCAAACAGGATTTAACACTGTAATCATTTGGAAAATGGCCCAACCTTAGTAAAGAAACCAGTGAGTGAGTCTAACAGTCTACGTACAGTATTGATGAGTATCCATAATAGCAGAACTTATTGTTTTGAGTCCACTGCTCTGTAGCTCTCTTCCTTTTTCACTTCTTTTCTTTTCTTTTTTTTTCCCCTCTTAATTTTCTTTTCTTAGATCTAACTGGCTAAAACCGTGCTGTGGGAGACGAGCAGCTGTGTGGCAGGTATTTTTGCTCAGTGCAAGTCTCAACAGTTTCCTGGTAGCCTGTGTAGTGTTGGTGGTGATTCTTCTGACTCTGGAACTCCTAATAGATATAAAGCTTCTCCAGTGTGAGTAGGAGGATTTATTTTTTTTTATTTTTTTATTTTAATGAAATAAGGGCTTAACGTGCTGGGAGGCTTTTGAAGGGGTGGGTTGGAGTGGAGATTGGTGAGGATTTCTTTTTCCCTACTGTGTAAATGGTTAGTAGGCTAGGCAAGAACTGTGTGTTTGTGGAACCCTGGTATAGTGAAGTCAGTCCCTTCTCCATCTTGCTGACCAAATTGATATAGGACACATTTTCAGAGGATATGAGCAGAGTGTACATGCAGGTATCTGCATGTTGGTACCCAAAAAGGTCTGTCCTTTAGGTCAGAAATACTCCATAACAAAGGAGAAAAGTCATATGTATTGTTAATCTCCTTGATACTTGTTGTATGCATATGGATGGACAGATATGACGAACATGCTAGGTTATTTCATGGCATTTCCTTACTTATTTACTTCTATTGAGGTAGGTAGGAATTGAAATTATGGTTTTCTATCTTGTGGCATGCTGAAGTGTTACAGATTATTATTCTACTCTAATATACAGTGATTCCAATAACTTCCTAAGTGGAGTTTTGCTTTATCTGAATTCACTCTACACAGGTTCCACAGTGCAATTTTTCATGTTGATTTTTTTTCCTACTGCTGTTTTCTTCCATTCTTTTTCTTTTTTTTTTTTGCTTTTGCAATACATACCTGTTGTGAACACAAATGCCAGCTACATCTTTCCCTCTAATTGTTGTAGAGCAGCCTTTAGCACCTCCCTGCAAATATGTTGAAATGTCAGTAATGAGGTTCAGGCAGTTCCATGAATGCAAGAATGCACAGCATGAAAGAAGCACAGTCTGGTATCCTCTATGGCAACTTCAAAGTAGGCAAGCATAGTTTTCATTCTGTCATTCTGCTATTTTCATGATTTTTCTGTTGATATTAGTGAAGTTAGCTTTCAGTGTAAGACTGAACTGCATTGTAATAAGATTACTTTAGAGGACTTGGTTGATAATTGCAATGATTTTGTAAACCCTTCTAGAGGAATCGGTAATTGAGCCATCTTTCCCCAATATTGCCCAGGTTTACCCCCACCCCTCTTTACAGCCCTGTCTGTCCAGGCTGCACACTCAGTTACCAGCATGGCCATTTCATTACATTTGTTATTTTCAGCAAAAGTCTCTTGGAACTTACCATTTTGAATGAGGAAACCCATAATTTGGACAAACCTGTAGCTTTCAGATGAGTCAGGAATGCTAATTATGGGTATAAGTCCTTAAAAATTGAATGAGGAACTGCATTTACTGAGGTACCCAGTAGATACTGAGATGTATCTTCATGTTTATGTATAGATTTGTCTCTCTGTGTGGAGCCCAAGAGTTTAAAAGCTGTTTCTGTTGATTTGTTTTAGACTTCTAATACAGTTCTGGAGACTTTCTTCTGGAAGCACCTGCTTTCTTACCATTCATTTTTCCAAAAAGGCAACTATTTTTCAGAGCCCACTTCTCCTCTTTGTATCTGGTGCATGTCATACCCTTAAAAACTCCACAGTTGCACCTTGTATGTGACCTACAGGTGCTTGGTCAGGCCAGGTGATTTTACTGTTAGGCTGCTGTCCCTGCCCTGTCTGTGTGGATTCTCTCAGCACCTGAGAGGATGTAGCTCTGTGTTGCTACTTTGCATTGCAACTCATCACACTTCTTGCCTTTGTTAAGCTGAACTCTTTCTATTTTGATTAAAATCAGATGAAGGTTATCTTGATGATGCTTGGTATTGCTGTTGTGTTGTACAAGGAATGTACATTGCTTACCTTGAAGTGGTAAAGAGCATTTAGGGCATAATTGTGCTTTTTAAAAATATATATAATTTGAATTTATAATGATTCCTTATTCTATATGAAGTTGAGCAGTGCATTAGGATACATTATGGCAGTTTTGTTTGTAATAACAAATGCTAATCCACGTTGTAGTTGATAACTATTTAGCAAGTCTTTTTTCTCTTTTGAATGAGATTTTAATGCGCTTTGAGTTTTTTGTGAAAAACTATTCCAGGAAAAGTCCAGTTTTCTGGCTGTGTGATTTTGAAAGTACCTTTCTCTCTCTCTTTTTTTTTTTGCAGTCCTTGGTTGCACTTTTCCCACACACAAAACTGTCAGTATCGGTGATGGAGACCAGGTCTGCAAATGTGTAGGACATGCATTAATAAAATAATGTCTTATCACATGATGCAAGTATTTTGAACTTGTCAAGTTTCAACCCCTACTCCTGTACTCAGGAAAACAGACCATGCTGTCCCTTCTCTGTCTTTGGTATTTTTGGGGGAGAGCAAGTCAGGCAGTCATCTTAGTCCTCCTGCAGTCAACTGCAGCAGATGTTTCTGTAGAAGGCATCTGGTCTTCCTGAAAACTGTGGAGCTGAAAGGCTGCACATAATTCTACCTGGTTGCTGGATCAGGGTCCTGTCTGACTGTGTGTGTAGCTGTCCAAGGAAAATGAGCACTGAGATGCAGTGATGTCTCTGCATGAACGGGTTGAGGGCTTGCCCAAACCATGCAGGGAGCAGCTGCTGTCTACTCCTGGCAGAAACTTGTTTGTATCTACCAAGAAACCATCATCAACGACAACATCAATCAGAAGCACGGGCTGGTAGTACAAGCTTCTATAATGGCCACTCACCATTTGTCAGGATGCATTCTTCATTCCTGTCCTCCAGATATGCATTTTGAGTATAAATGAAAGGAGGAGGAGATGGACTGAAGCTAGCTATACTTAACCTTTATACTGAATGGTAGTCTTCCTGACTAAACAGCTGGGTTTGTATTCACGTTGTCCTCATAGCACCAGACAAGCAAAATGTGAAATAAAGCAAAACTATTTGGCTTTTAGCTGGTTGTTTGTTTGTTTAATTTTAATAGGTAACAGGTAAAATAAATGTGGGATGCTGTTTTGATTAAGGTAGCAACTGAACAGCTTTTAGATGCTTTGCCTCAAACCAAATCCCAGGGATGTATCCAAGCTGCCAAAGGGTGGAAGATGAGCACCTCTTGGAGAAGAGCCTTCTCTCTTTTTGTAGGCCTTTCACAAAGGGGAATCTTTTGGAAGAAGCAAATATACAAAGCCAGAGTATGGCTTAGTGATTCAGCTCTTTAACAAAAGCTTCTGGCTTGGAAGACTTTCACAGATGTACTGTTTTACTGGCAATTTGATTGCACGCTGTCTGGCCATGGATCCAGCACTCTCCTCCAGCAGAAATTGATTTTCTTACAAAATTCTTCCTGCTATATATTTTTTGTCCACTAAGGGGCAGCTGGAGCCTTATATGTCAATTGGCAGCTCTGAAAAATAGCTTACAGGTGGTTTCTATTTCTTGTTCTTTATGCCAACCTATAAAGACAGTGCCTTGGGTTAGGTATATATACTACATTTTCCTGTTGTTTCATCTCTAAGTAGTTCCTCTGCTGCACTGCAGAAAACCCTCTTGCATCAGGTCCCCATGAGCTTCAGCTGTGTAAGTTCCAGCAGCAGCCCATCAGTGTTTTTCTTCGTATTTCATTTCTTTCTACACTCCTTTCCTCTTCTTTCCATTTTAATTAGTTTTAACTTTTTGAAATAAGATGCCTGGTTTAGTGCATGCCATACATGTTCTTGGGAGTTAGTTAATTCTGCAATAATCTTGCATTTCTATGCACACAAAGTCACTAATTACCTTTAGCTTTGCTGTTACATGACTCTCTGAAACAGCAGGGCTGCACAGAGCATTGTAACCTATCTGCTGTACGAAAGGTAGACTCACTAATGCCCTAAAGAAAGAAGGTTATTTTTCTTTGTTGTTTTAATTCAGAGTATGTGACCTCCAGAGTAAGAGCTGTCAGTGCTTCAGATATTGGACTCTCTGGGCTTTCAGCAATGAAGGGCACTTTGAATGTAGAATTTCAGTAAACTTCCTTGAAATTCTCCATGTTTCAAGACGTTGACTTAACCCCATAAAGACAATCTCTGCTGTAAAGAGAGCCTTAGTTATATGATTAGAAATAGGCTTTAAAGCTCTAGTTTTTAATGACCTGGTCCAGACGGTTACGGGTCTTCTGAGCTTAATTACCAAAGAATGAATACAAGGAGTAATGTGGGAATAATGCAGCATTGTTTCCTTAAACATTCTAATTGAACTTGCAGGTAGGCAGGATTTAGTCACACATTTTATACTAACACAATGCATGGAGTGAGAGTGTGCAGCAGTAACAGACCTAAAACATGTATGTCCTGCTTACCAGCAGTCTGTGTGAATGATCCAATGCAAAGCTGCTGCAGCTGCTAACGTGCTGATTTGGATTAGAGTGAACAGCTGACAGGTCTGGAATTACATGTCCCATTACATCCTGCTTCTTTTCTGGTTTTTCCATTATGAAATTTAGAGAAGAAAGCTTAATCCATATGTAAGTTGTAGCAGTACTAATGATATTAAGCTCAAGTTGCATTCTGCTACTAAAATGATGCTTCATTGTATTGTGTTAATTGCAGTTTCAAGTGCTTCACAGTTTGCAGGAGTAATTCACTGGATCAGCCTAGTCATCCTGTCTGTTTTCTTTTCAGAGGTATGTATGATCAAAGACTTTCACCACGCACAGAACTGCAAGGTATTTTTATGATCTCACTTGAATTAACAAGAATTTAACACTGGTTTGATTGTGAATAAATGTAACAGAGTGCACTTAAGGAAAGAGAATTAAAAAAAAGTCTAACAATTGCTGCTCTTAGCAAACTAAAAGATCTTGTTTGTACTAGTGCTGTTGTCAGTTGCCTAGAATTGGCAAGAAAGGCAAGTTACAGTTGAACAGTGACAAAAAGAGATAATCATCTCTGGATCACCACAGACGTGGAAGAGACCTATTTCATGCATTTTTGTCTCACAGAAATCTTACTGGTGTCACTGGGAATAAGGAATTAATTCAAGATTACAGATCTGATCTTATAAAAAGACCTATTTTAAGAGTGGAACAATCTTCTCTTGTAGTTTATGTGGGTAGTTTAGACGTTCTGGGTTGCTGCATGTAAAAGTAAGAGAATGAAACAAATGGTGAATTTCTTTGCAAATATTTTAATGAATATATTTTTGGAAACTGGAGGAGAATGCTTTAGTTGCGATATAACAAATGACCAAATTGGGATAATCTATTAGAGTTTCCAACTTCATTCTAAAGAGAAGTCATTGATGTGGAGACATTTAGACTACACCTGAAAATTCCCATGTTATCAAGGCTGTTTTTCCAGGTATACTATGATGTATTAGTTGTCACCAAAAAAAAAGTGGGGTTTTTTTTGTCACTTGATGCCAACTAGTATGTTAGAAGAGAACCTGAGCTTATGTATTTAAAAATACACCTAGTTTTGTAGGAGAAAACATTTTTATCCAAAAAGAAGTGAAGTTCTTCACTCTGTGGTACGTTTTGATGAAGATTACAAAGATAATAATAATAAAAAAAAAAAACAAAACAGGGAGTTGTGATATCTGTAAATGATTGGTAGATTACTTGTGTTGGAATCATACTTAACATATTATACCATTGCTTCTTTCTGTGATTCTATTTAATGAAATTTATTTACATGTGTCATTTTGTATTTCTGCTTTCTATTTCTGCTCATTATGGGGGTTTTCTAGCTAGTGTGTTCAGACTGCTTTTAGGGCACTTTCAGAAGGGATTCCCTGTTTCCAGGCAGGGTTCTCAGCATGGCTTTGCATCTCAGTCTTCTCTGGTGCTGCAGCTACACAAATGCATATAATTCCTTTGTGCATTTCCCATCGTTTGATAGTGACTGTGGATTGTAGATTACATGTAATCTGCCTGAAAAAGAACCTGGAAACCATTGAGAAGTTTTACAGAATCCTTTCTTCGTGCATTGCATATCCTAATTCCCAAAGGCTCAGGTTTGCTAGATAAAGTCCTTTCCCTGTAAAGAAATACTTTCCCCTCTTCTTGAGAATCTTTCTTTTCTCCTGTGGGAATCAGCACCCTGGAGGTACCTCATGACTGCACTAACATGCTCACCTCATCTTTGTTGCTGTCTTGAGCTTGTTTCACAGCAAGTTTTCCTGTGTTCCTTGATTTTCTTCTGCTGGATGTAGTCTAAAGTTCTGTGTTAATTCATTTTTACCCCTTTCCCCGAAGCTTGATGCAGTGTCTTGTTCCTGTATCCCCTCTGTAGTTCAGTTCACATGCAGGCAGTTTTTGGTAGGTTGCCCGTGGCAGCACAGACACATCCACCAGACCAGTTCTCAGCTATGTCAAGGCAGAAAGAAAGCTTTAGTCCTGCTGAAACAGTACTGCACAAATGGCTGGACTGGTTTGGAAATGCTTTGTAGTAAAACAGTAACAGAAATACTTTACAGTTAGAGCTGATTGCCTTACTCACCATTCTCATTTTGAATTTGTGTTTTGGATACTTCCTTTCTTTCTGCATTGCATATTTGACATTACTTTTCTTTGCTTTCTGTCCTAGCTTTTTTGTACACCCCTTACTACTTGTACTACCTCTTACACCTCTTACTACTTACTACTTTTTTTTTCTTTTCTGTTTCTGTCTTTCAAAACATCTTCCTTTGCCTACTTGACTGTGGGTTGGATTTACACCAGTGAAAAATGTGATCACAAAACAGCCATGTAATGAGCACGAAGGAGGGTAGGATTTTTTGGATGTTGGTTCATCAAATGCATTTGTGGCTGCTCAGAATCCTTGATGTGGTTAAAGCAACAGAGGTGGACTCCACTAAGTATCTGGATATCCTCAAAGACCTCAGATCTGAAAGAGAATGAAGGTGTAACTTTGCCATTGGGTTTGCTGGAGTTGGTCTTGTGCAAGGCTCATTTAATGAACGACAGCACATCTGTTTGTGTTGAGATGTGTTTCCTCAGAAGAAAAACGGAAAGTCTATTTTTTTTTCTCACCTAAATCAAAAGCTTTGAATTTCAACAGATTATGAAATGTTGTAAAAACTGCATATCAAAGAAATATATTTTTCATCCGTCTTTGTTTTATGCTCCTTCAGAGGTGTTTTTCCTCCTCAATTCCCAATACTATGAGTCAGCTGGCTTTGTTATTTCTTGAGAAGGTTGTGAGTTACAATGAGTGCATTCTGTGAGTGTTGATGCCAAGGAATGGTTTCCAGATTTGAGCAGGCTTAATTGATTTGCTAGGATGTAGCAGGCAACTGATGCATCAGATGGCGTTTCTTTCCCCAAACCAAAGACTGAGAGTTTCTGGTGTACAAAAAAAGGTTTTCTCCTTTGCAAGTATCATGTCCCATGTTAGGTGTTTATTACTTTTTTCTGTGGTTTGGTTCCCATTTGTTATAAAGGTAGATATGTCAGAGAGACTTCAAATTAGATGTAAAGAACAAGTAATAGAAACTTCTCAAAAACAACAACACCTTATTGAAGAATAGGAAACTTCCAGCAGAAAATCTGACTGTTTTGGAAAAGCATGACTGGTAAAAAGCAAGTGCTGTAAAGACATTGCAAGGACTTACAGTCTCATCATGGTGGAGTTAAACAGGCACTGGCTTTCTGCTTGGTTAAAGCGAAGGGGGCAAACATGCCAGCAGCTAGAAACTGCCAGCAGAACATTTGCCAACAAAATTAAGTAGCTGGGCTTGGAGCATTTTCAGCTCTCTATACGCTTGTGTTATCGCTGTGAATCTTAAAGGAATTTATTGCTTTCTGACTATTTTATATTTTCTGTCACTGTCTGTGACTTTTCCAACGTAAATTCAAATGAAGAGCACATCAACTCTTCTTGCTTTCTCCCAAGTACTTTGAATAGAATTTATTAGTGGTGATGATTGTGTATGTTTGTCTCTGTTTACATACATCACTATAATTTGTGCACTGAATGTTACCCCGATGTTAAGACAGAAGAGAAGACTTTTGAGGGGGGAACACCAGTGCCAACAGCAAAGCAAGGCTGGGGTTGCACCATAACAAGAGGGCATGTTCAGCCATGGTAAGAGTTGGCTGAGAAAAGAAAGATAGGGAAAGTCAGAGTATTTTGGTAAATGGATTGGAGTCTGTATTTAACAGCCTTATTGCATTGCCACAAGTATCTGATTCTGAGCTGTTGTTCAGTTCTGTTTTTTCTACTGAGACCACTTGCGTGCAAGAATCAGATTCTTTGATGTTGGTTGTTTGCATTGCTCTGTGTATGCCTTAGTCAGCCAAGCATTCAGGCATTCTGCTAGCTTTCAGCACTTGGGTGTTTCCCAGGGAGAAACCAAGTTTTCTGACGTGCTTGAAGTTAGGCAGTCATCGCACTGCAACTTTTTTCCTATGTCCAAGAAACAAGTTCTTGAATCGGGTAGAGTACATCTGGGGTACTGGTTGATAAAGGGTTTGTTTAATTAATCCTGGCTCACAAATGTGTTTTCATTGTAGGAGGAAAAAAAATGCTATCTTGTGTGTTAGAAGGAAGATCTTAGTACTCACTGTGATGTTTTACATCTAGCAGTTCTTGGAAATAATAAAACCTCCCGAGAATGGCGTTCCTATTAATCTTCTATAGAAAACTTCTAGAAAGAAACAAATCCCAAATGACGAATCTAAGCAAATCACGTCTGTCCCATACAGATTATTCATTACAGTTCCTGAAGAATTTTTCATTACAGAAATTGGCTGTTTCTTTTGTTAGATTTTTTTGGTCGTGCTTCTAACAGCCAAGCAGAAAGATAATCTACTATTAGTTCTGAAATTCTTCCGCAAGCTGGGACTTATTTTCTGAGTGGTTACTTTCATTCCATATGCACATGGCTTTTTTCATGGTGCACAAGTGGTCCGCATTGCTGACTGTTTACAGTTTGGCTTTTGTTTAAGGTGATTGACAAGGGGAGATCTAGTTACGAAGATACAGATTTGTATATATTATTACAATTGTAAAGATAAATGTAAGCTACTATGTTTTTTTTTTTAGAGTTTTTAGTATACTGTGACATTCCTTTTCTAGCCACTTTTCTTACTTCACAAAAAAATAGTTTTTTGTAGAGGCCTAAGTGATTTAGCTTGAGACACTCCTGAAATGTGAAGCTTGCCCATTTCTTTTCCAAGGACATATTACTTGCATGGTGTGCTCTATCAGTGCTCCATCTGTGCTTTCATCTTTGATAGCCACAAGGCCAACACCTTCTACACTATGCACTATGAAGATAAGAATTAATGCTAGTGTGATCATGCCAAGAGGGAACTTCTGAAGCAAGGTTGCTGATGACAAATTTTCTGTTCAGTCTGCATTTACCTTATGGTAATATGCTGCATCTCTAGTAAACCATTTCTATTCCTGTAAAGCCCTTTCAAATCATTCCAGAGTTTTCATTATAAATTTCATTATTTTTCTCCACATTCTAAGAATGACTATTGCAGAACAACAAGTGAACTGCAGTGCAGTACTCATGCAAAGATGCATCTGAGCACTCAGTGATACCCTGATGGAGTATTAGTGGTAGGCAGTGAGAAAAATGCACTGCATTCATGTTTCCTAAGTGTTGCCATGCTTTTGCAGTTATTTATTTCTATGTGACTAGCTGTGCTAATAGATCCACAGTGTTACAGAGCACAGTAAGTCAGGGGTGTTTTGTGCTCTGTGAGGTGAGGTCAGTAGTTATCCTCTTCATTTCAGAGCTTTGGTTAAAGAAAAACCCTGTGAGGAGGATGCCTATGCCCTGCAAGCAGGAGGATGTGTCATTTAAAGATGCCAATGTGTTTCTTCATATTCTGCAGGCTGGGGCAGAGCATATACCAGAACAAGTAATGCAGTATCTCAGGACAGGCACACCAAGAGGTGACACAAAGAGATTCTTTTAAGTAGTGAATGAGCTCAGGCCTCTGCAACGTGACCCAAGCCAGAGATTATAAGGAGTGGGTACAAGGTATTCTTTCTGGGAAATGTGTCAATTAATATTTGATGTTACAAGATGCATCCAGGAGACAGAAGCTTGATCTTACGGTTTCTGCCAAACTTTTGTGGCAGTGGAAGGAGGGAAGCACTCTGCTAAAGACCCTTTTCACCCTCCTCCCTCCACTGTTCAGCTCTTGTGCAAATCCCTGCCTCATTTTGAAATGCAAAGTTGTCCTGCTTTGCTGTTAGCTAAGCTGGTGGGCCAGCATCACCTCTGTGCTGCCTCCTTTGGGTTTCTTTGTGCTGTGGATGATATCGGCACAGCAAATCACTGGGTACTAAATGGTGTGTTACCAATGCAAGCAGTGAAGTACTTTAAAAATACTGAATGTGCTGTGCAGTCAGCTAACAAATGTGGCCAGCTCACGCAGACTGAGGGAATGCACACAGCTGGCTCAGCAAAGGACTTGGCCAGGTTTCCCTGCCAAATTGGGGGGAGAACCTGCAGCATCACAGTTCTTTACAAGCTACGCTACAGTGTCGTGCAAGCAACTGTGTCAGCAGTGAACAATGTCAACTTCAAAAGTGCCTTTCTTTTTGAAAATTATGGTTTATTTTTCTTTAATCTGTCCTTACTCCATCTAAAATAAGTCCAAAGAAGTGTCTAGTCTTTTATTTTTATTAGTACACTGGGCAGACTTCTATGTAATAATTTAGCTTTCCTCAGAAAGCAGAAAGTATTTGATATATCAATATCTGTCTTATCAATATACGCACATGTACATATCAACATACATAAGGACTTTCTAATTAAAAGCTATCTGGTCAAGAAATGTCAAAGCATTTTTTTTTCAGCTTAAAAAAAAAAGAAAACACTGGCAGTGGCCTTTAACAAAAAAATAAATACTCAGTGATGTCAAATGTTTGCATTCAAACCTATGCACCCCAAAATGCAGAACTGTGTGTATGCGTTTGCTGCAATGCTGGAAAATGCCCATGAATCAGAAGAAAACAGTGGTGCTTCTCTATTTTTTTCCTTATTTTTTTTGTATTTTCTTGTTAGCCCTACATAAGAGAAGAGTCACAACTATTGTTTCTGTTTCATCTTAATGTTTTAGTTGCTGTACTCTTCTAATACCTTTGATCCATGCATGGTGCCTAAAAACTTTGCTCGAATTTTGTCTCTGACTTTTTTAGGTTCTGCTCCAGATTCTTATTTTTAAGTTCAGTATAGAGAAAGTACACAGTCAAGTGCAGTATGCATTCATTTGGAGGATGCTTGTGGCTGTTTAGAACTGAAATGTAAGTAACACCAGCGCTTTCATTTCAGTCAAAGTATTTATTGTGCTGAACAGGAAAACATGCCTAGAGAAGTCCCACTTTATTTGGTTCAGACTCCTGTGGGTAAGCGTTGCAACAGCATCACTGATCACATGGTTTGTGCAGAGAGGGCAGAGAAAGCAAAAGAGGTTGGAGCTGCCAGTGGTAAAGAGTTACCAGGAAAACATGGCATACCACAGCTGTACCACCAGGTGCAAGTGCTGTGAGACTCGTGCATCTAAGGTGCTTTTTTGGAGCACCCATTTCCTTCAGGGCACCAAAGGCAGAGCTGCCCAACGTGGCTTTTGAAACTTCTGTGGCGACGCACTTTGTTTTGTTTAAAAACAACACGCTGGTGGATCATGCCAGTGGATAGCTTCAAGACCTTGCATGCAAAACAAAATGTTTTTCAAGCTTATCCTGTGCCCTCAATTGTTTGTTCTGAAGATGATGTCTGTCAGGTGGGGAGCAGGGTTTGTTCTGCACTTGTGCTCTCCCTTCCTTTAATTTGCTTGCTCTAGTTTTAAGCAGAGATATTTGTCATTGAGACATTTGTTGTGAGGAAGCCTGTCTTCTAGATGTGGCACCAGGAAATATTGCTGTCTGCAAGACAGACTTCCCATCATTGCTGGCTTGTGCTGATTCACACCAGCAGGCTGGAAATGAAAATGTTTGTGCTAGCAACCAGCCCTTAGAACTTCTCAAGCCTGCAAATGTGACAGCAGTGCCTTAAACACCGCAGTCAGGAATTAAAAAGGCAGAAAAGAAAAATCCCAATTTATGTTCCCTCAGCAGTTCCGTGTTAAATCTCACTTAAGAGTTGTGCAACAGTGCTTCAGTTTTCTTTGAGTGCTTCTGCCCTATCACTGTAAAGAAAAGATCTTTGTGTGCTCCTATCCAAAAGAAGAAAGGTTTTCACCATCAATCACTGTAAACATCTGCAGTGTTCAACCATCCTTTAATTGCTCATTGATAGAGTGCTTCATAAATGATGTCTAAGCACAGAAGAAAATGGCCTGGATGTTTCTATGCTGTCAACAGGGTTGTTGTAAAGGCAGCACCACATGCTTTTGGGAAGGCACTGCTTTTCCTCATTCATTTCCCAGTGGCTTTGGGCTGTGGACCCCAGGTTAACTGTGTGCTCTTGAGTAACTTGTATTTTGTGCAGCTTTTCAGTGGGAAGTGAGAGAGTTCCTTACAGAGGAGCTAGGGTACTGAGGCTGCAGGAGAATCTTGGTCATACAGCAGCATGTGTACTTACACACTGTGCTCACATCACACCACAACAGCAAATTTGGAATGGTGAGGGGTTTCACAGAGCTGCCACTGTGTGTTTCTTCTTCCCTATCTAAAGCCCCTGTGCATACAGATTCATAATGAAACTGTTCCTGTACTTCATTTGTGAAATACTTTGGAATTAAAATGTTCTTTTTGGAGCAGAGACCAGCAGCATTAGCAGTTCTTGGTGTCTGCATAGAGTCTCATCATTTTTTGTAGAGGGAAGAGAGTGCTACATTTGCTCTGCTGGCTAGCAACTCCCTTTCTCTGCTAGACCTGGACAGTGCTTCACATACAGCATTCCTGAATGAATTCTGGCTGGCTGACTTTTCTCATTATCTGTGATACGAGACAAGATTTGAAAGCAACGTATGTCTCACAGCAGTGTCTTCCTCTGCAAAACAAGTTAAGGTTTGGAGTGCCAAGGTAGAGCTCAGCGTGGTCATCCTGGACCAAGTGAGGCAATTGGGCTCATGGGGTTTGGCAAAGCAGTAATGTTCAGAAAAATCTAGTATTGATACACAGTTAGGTAATGCTGCTGTGTGTGGTGTAAATTCAGAGTTGGTTGGGATTTGAAGATGTTTGCATTTTTAATGAAGAGGTGATACGTATATTCATGTAGGTGTATATATATTCATCATACAGTCATTTAGATTCTTCAGCACAGTTCTTGGCACGGTGACCATTCACACGTAGGCCTGCTGAGCTCTCTGTCACTGTACTGGTCTTTAATGGAGAAGAAATTGATTCTTCTTCATAAGTCATAGAGCTGCAGTTAGAATCTTCATGCCTGTCGTGTCTGCTTTCCTTTTATGTGAATTCAATTTCAATCACCAGATTTATTTTCATTTAATTGTCTCCTATAGGCCAGTTAAAAAAAAAAAAAAAGGGGGGGGGGATAACACCATTAGATTTTTAATTGGAATTCACCATTGGTTCATTCTGTGTTCCTTCTTTATTTCTGTTTTCTAGTTACTGATGTTACTTACAGCTGTTTGATTAGTGGGGAGGATCATAAATATCTTTTTCTCTCTTATCCTATGACTTTCTGGGACTTCACAGTAAGGCAAGGACTCTGCGATCAGGACAGGCAAGGGGAAAATAAGGGCTCTTCAAATTGATGAAATACCATCAGTTTTGGGCATAAAGAGAGACAGTGGCTCTTTATTTTCATTAGGAAATAGTAAGCACTAACATATCAAAGATGAAATCAGAATCTTCTTACATTCCAACACAACAGAGGGAGCCCAAGAGTGGATCTTTAGAAGGTTCGGGTTTGTTTGGGCTTGTTTCTTGTGTGTTTGTTTGGTTTATTTATTTTTGGGGGGCTTTTTCTGTGGTGATTTGAATCTCACATGTCTAAAAGAAACTTGAGAAGGTTGGAAAGATGGAACATTTGAATTTGGAACTTGTTTATGAAGTTTCATTGAGTTAATATAGTGGTTGGAATACAGTACTTTATTCTACTATCCGAAGGTATAGCTATTTCTAGCTCTTTATTATTTAAAAGGGAAACAAAATGCTTAGATAAGACAAAAACACGCCCTTAAATAGGTGAAGGACTAATGTTTATATAAAATTATAGTAATATTAATCTTTTTTTTTCCCTAATTTATTTTGCTAGACTGTTTTGAGGATTGTGGTCCTTGGCATATGGGATTACATTGAAAACAAAATAGAGGTAAGCAGTCTTACTCTTTGCTCTGATTTCCAGGCAGACCATGTGTCTTAATATTCTTAACAATATTAAGAACTGCTTTGTTACAGATCTGATGCAGATACCTTTTAATTCAGACAAGTATGCATATTCCTCTCATTGTTTACATGAATGCAAAGCTGTATAATGCAGTTTCCTTTTCTGTATGCCTCTCAAGGAGTGTGATATTTGGATTTTATTACAGGAGGAGGAGAGGATTGTGGAACTTTTGCTGTGTGTGCCTATGGATTTTATTGGTAGAGCTGTGCTAGTCCAACAGTTGTTATTGCTACCCTGAGATAATGAGCAATAGGAGTAAAAAATTTAATGTGACTTGTGTACATACCTCAACTTGGTTACAGGAATGTTAGAACTGATTGAAAATTGGTGTATGGCTTTCTGATAGAAAGTACTCATTTGGCAAAAACCCCAGTTCTAACATAAAGTTATTTTCTTTCTTAAATCTGACTTTTGATGAATACAGTTGCCTTTTCTGATCTAACCCACAATGAAAGTAGCATCATACAAGTTCTGAACAGTCCACATTGTCCAAATCCTTGAAAATTTTGCTGCCCAATAACAGTGAGAGCAGAGAATCTTTCTGTCTGGATGCACAGACGTTCCCACACGTTATGTAGTCAGGACATGGCCAAGAGCCATTAACTCACTTTGCACCATCTTTTTCTACTTACATTCTTGATCTTTTCCTTCAGGCAATAAGATGTATGGGCAGGGACTTGATTTTGAGGGCGGGGGGGGGAGGCAAATAATCATGCCAAAAAATAAGTGATAAATATCAATGATAATGAAGGTCTTCGTTTGTAATAGCATTTAGTCTATCATTTCTACGTGGAGATTCTGGCCAGTAGGTCCAAATACCTTTCTCTCTTCCTGCCCTCCTACCAGTTTCTCTCCTCACCTCATAAAATGTGGGTGAAGCAGTAAAGAATTCTGTCATGCTGCCTTAAAAGGATGCAGTCTTTGTGGGGTTTGGCCACTCTCATATCCCTTTCAGATGCATATCCTAATTTCGCTTCTTTTAGGGGAAATGGGAGCCCTTCGTGTCCTCAAACAGAAAAGGCATGGCTTGTGATCCTCAGGATGGGTTTGAAAACGGTCTTTTTTTTCTCTAGGTGTTTGATGGTGCTGTTATAATCTTGTCCTTGGCACCAATGGTGGCCTCAACAGTGGCTAATGGCCCCAATAGCCCGTGGGATGCTATCAGCCTTATTATCACACTACGAATATGGAGAGTGAAGAGGATCATTGATGGTGAGTGGTGATTCAGTTTCTGACTCCTAGAATTACCTGACAGGCTGGAAAAACAAACAAACAAAAAAGGTATTAAATACACGAGACGATTGCTTTCCACTGCTTTTCCTTTCGTTCCCCTTCCTCTGACATGTTAGAAGTACCAAAGAGGAGAGAGTTATTGCTCCTGTGGAGGAGAGTATGGCTCAATTTCATGGCTGTTTCTTCTGTTCCATTTGAGCCTTTATAATTGATTGGTTTAGTTTTTTGTGAGACGCTTTCACATCTCCACACATTTCAAGTAAATACATCTGACCTGACGTGCTTCCTGTCTCTCACCATCAAGCACCATTCCTAATTCTATGAAATAATTGCTTCCAGTATGCTTTTCCAATATTTGCCACACCATCCGTATGTTTGTGCAGCTGTATCTGTCTTGTTCCTTTCTTTTCCATTCTGTTTTTGGTGCAACTTTTATGTCAGATTCTGGGAGCATTTTGTTATCATGGTAGTTCTGAGCTGAAGGTGCTCTGTGGCACTACTGTGCTGCATGGCACAATAACCAAGGCATCTACTGGTAATGTACCTAAGAACTCTGTCAGGAAACACCATGAGAGATGAGAACTCCATAGCAAGACAAAGCTGTGGAGAGCAGAACCAGTGGCTGTGCCTGGAAGCAAGGAGTCGAACTGTTATGTGTCTGCATACAGAATTGAGGAAAGGTCTAAGCCCTGTGACTGAAGTGTCCAAGGAAAGTTCAGGATCTCATGGAGATTCACAGAATGTCAAAAATCTCCTTTGTCTGCTGTTGCCATCAAGGATTTATGTCGTACCTCCAAGTCTAGGAATTTAATGCTGTGGGCTCTGAGGTGATTCTTTTCCAAAAGAAGCCATGCTGTTCAGGTTTAGAGGGGAAGGCACCAGCTCCAAGCAGAAAATCTTACCTAGCAATTCAGGAAATCTGCTCTAAACACTAGGAAATGTCTGTATTAGCAAAAAGCTAGGAAGAGAATGGAGGATGCATTTCAGCTCAGCCAGGCAATTGGAGATCTGACCAAGCAAAATCTAGACCCTGCTTATGACCTTTCATGTGTTAGAAATCCTTCCTCAGAAGAAATACTTCAATTCATTTGCTGTAAGTGAAAGTGGTGATTTTTTTGTTGTCGTTGTTATGAAGCTATGTAAAGGATTTCCCTCTGACTTAATTAAAAAAAGAATCACAGTTGGGTTAATTTGAAGTGCTTGTGTTTTCCAGCATATGTCCTTCCAGTGAAAGTGGAGATGGAGATGATGATTCAGCAGTATGAGAAAGCAAAGGTTATTCAGGATGAACAGCTGGAAAGACTAACCCAGATCTGCCAAGAACAAGGGGTAAAGTTCAATTGTGTCTTTATTTACACACAGCTTGTCATAGAAAATCATACAGTGTATGTACTTTGCTATAATTGAAGGCTTGTAAAGTATCATTAGGCTTTCTGTTGCGAAGTGACAGATTTCAACATTAAAGAAATACTGGCTGCAGCCAGGATATTTTTATGCATGGTATTTGTCAAATAGCAATTGCCTCTATCTGCTGCTATGTGTGTGTTCTTAAGGTGAGGAAAACAAATGTGAGGAATAGAAAAGGAGTGCTTCCAGTATTTGATTTATTGAATAAGTGCAGTTTGACATAATGTTCAGAGCATGCAAAATTCATTGCCATTATTGGACACTGCAGCTGTATTAAAGCCTTATTCCTTGGAAAAGTACATGCATTTGCATGAAAGCTAATGAATCTCCCTGCTTTAAATGCAGGACGCTGCTTCCTTTAAGTCAGTCTGAGAGTCTTGGCAGACTCAAGAAGTTGCACCAGAAACTAGAAGCTTCTGGTGCAGCATTTTTTTTTTTTTTTCAGACTCTTCCCAAGACCGCAAATATTCAGTGGCTTGGTCTTTTGAGATAAGGGAAGGTGAAATTTAAAGTGGACAGATGTGGGGAAAAAAGTGTAAAACAGCCATTGTGACGATAAGCCAGGCATTTTGAATTACACAGTCTTATTTAAATGAGTTTGTAAGTCTGCTTTGGCAAAGTGGAGCATTCAGATGACTACCAAACCACAACAGAATGATCCTCCAACTGACCTAATTCTCATTTTAATTGCTAGGATAACTAGGAGATGTCCAAATAAAGGCAGGAAGTTTCCAGCATCAGTTCCCATTCCCTACTCCTGGCTGGTGTTTTTCAAATACAAAATGAGGGTTAAGTTGGAGTGGGTCAATCAGTCAAAAAAGCTGAAGGGCTTGAATAGACAGGAGGAGAGGCAACTCATCCCAGTACAGGACAGCTGTGGAACAGGTACTTAATCTGAATCAGGGATTTATGTGCCCATCTCTCTATTAGGATTCTAGAACCCATCGACAATCCTATTCACGACAACTTTGTGCAGTGATATTGGTAGATTCATGCTTCTGTTACAATCATGAAATGAACAAGAAATGGTATATACCCGGTTTTATAGAGGAGAGAATCTCTTTAGACCAAATGCAGTAGGCAAATCAGCAGTTTCTTGAGTCCCACAGCAGTATTTTGTCTGTCAGCCCATTCTGTTAGGTTAAAGTTCTTGACAGTCATAAATTTGAAAACATTTTTAGGAACTTTGTTATGGAGCTAAGTAATCCTACTCCCTAAGCAGTTTTTGATGTTGTTCTTTCATAGTCTGAGTGAAAGTAGGCTCATTATAGCAAGCAGGGTTTGGGAGCACTTTTGCCACCCTCCATTCTGCATGCCTGACTTGCAAGATGTCTAACCTGAGTTCTGATGGTTACAGCATAGCTGTATGTCATGTACAAAGAATTACTGCTTTGGTAGATGAGTAAATCTGTGAAAACAGAGTAGGTTCTCTCCTCGCTTTCAAGTGTCATCAGCTATGGAAAAATATGGACTGTAGAAAAATGACAGTATACTAATCTCTCATGTTTTACTGTCCTGAGTTCCTGCCAAACAAATGTTTCAGCTATATAATATGAGGTAAATGTACTAATTTGCTGCAGTTAGCAACAGAAGACATTGACACAAGTACTGCATTCTCCGTAAATTAATAGATGCATAATTCAGTCAAGAACAAGTTGTCAGCATTATAATATTCACATTGGCATTGTACACAGTGTCTGGTGGGGAAAAAAAGAGTCTCCTAATGATATTTGATGTCTAAAATTCTGCCAGGTTTTTGCTTTTTCATTTGATTACCTGTCCCAGCCTCTTGAAGGATTGCTTGGGATTTGAGTGAGCAAGTCTATGCTTTTGGATCCAGGGGTTGCTTACAGCAGTCTGGCTGCTCTTAAATCTGGAGGTCCAGCAGGTAGGGATTGCAGGCTGCCTTGTCTGTAAGGTACCTACTGTGTCCATCACAGGCAAATGGGATAGCAGGGAGCTGCCTAGAGCCTGTAGGGGGCTGACCTGGTGCCTCTAACACATGCAGGGCCCCATGCTTCTGTGTTTTGAAGCTGGTACTTAACACTTGACAGGCAAGTAGCCTTCCTGTCACAAATGAGGTTTTTAACTTGTATTTGTGAGCTGTGTTATTTTCCTTGTGCTGAGCTGTGTGATTTAAGTTCTTGTTGAGCACGTACACAAAGGGGAGGAATTTAAGTCACGAAAGCAGCCTCCATCTGACATTTCTCTCCATGTAGGTTTGTTGAGTGGACTGTGTCTTGTAATTGACTTAAACATAGCCAACCGTGCATCTTAACAACGTGGTCAATTTAAATTGGCTTGAGTTAGTATGGCTGACTGTGTTAGGGGCATTTCCCTTGTCCTCTTTCTGCCAACCTGCCTTTTTTTGTTTATTTGAACAAATGCACGTGAGGAAACAGATCTGGAGAATGATTGGGTTGTAATTAATGTAACAGATTTGATGGGTTTTGTAGGAATTGTATCTAGAGCCTAGTTCACACCACATTGCAGAATTGGTTCTGTTGATCAAAGGTAGAAAATAAGGAAGGGAAGATGAGTGCATAGGAGTGAAAGGAAGGCAAAACCTGTTTCTCAGTTTATACTAGTTTGTACTAGTAGTGGCTTTTGTGTGCATGTTTGTATTGTTTATTGTTGTTGTTTTTAATCTGTCTAGTTTTATGTGTTAGCAGTATATATTTTTTGGCCAGTGATAGGGTATCACAACTGCAAAGTATTATTCCATTCCTGAGTTGGAGACGTATTCTGCAAATATGAAAACTCCTTCCAGATGTTGATTTTTGGCTAGCCATACTTCTGAAAAACAGAATATATTTTATAAATTATAGATGCATGGGCTACAACTTTGGTCTCTGCAGAGTCCTGCTGAAACTGTTTCAATAGTTTGCTGTCTTATTTATTCTCTGGCCAAGAAAGACATCAAAAAGGAGTGGAGCATGAGGGTGGTTAAGAGAGAAAATACTAAAGGATTTGAGAAACTTTGCCCATCACAGTAACAAGGATTTCTAAAAATGGGTGAGAGATTAGAAGGTCTCACTGCAATCACTATCAAAAATATAGAAAGAGTATTTTCCTGATGGTGTCATTTTATCAGTTTCATTACTAAGTTTTATTAATTTAATAAATTAAATTATGAAAGAAATACATATATACACAAAATGTCATTAGCAATGCAAATTCCAGTTCAAATTTATTTTAAAATCATCTGTAAAGGAACTTCCATTTCTGACGATAAATCTGTTTACCTGATCTTTTCTGTTAAATTTTCATGTCATTCAGCTGAGTACAGTCCAGCCCAGACTGTGTACCACAAAAGCTCCTTTTCTGTCAGCTCTTGTAGTATAGGGTTTTTCATCATTCTCAAAACTGTAAGAACTATGGAAGCTGTAATTTCTTCTTTATCTTGGAATATAATTTGTACTTCAGCTGCTAGTTTAATGACAGGGCTATTTAGCTGGTAAAATTACCTATTGGAGAAATAACTTATGTTATCTTTTTGCAATAATTCTAATTCATGTCTAACTACCAGTCATTTTCTTGGTAAGTGGAAGGCAGCCAAGGTCATCCCATGTTTCATTTTGCCCATAAATCATTTGTTTGCAAACGTCTCCTGATTTTTATTGTTACCAACAATGACTAAACTAATGGAAGTAAACATTGGATTGCATCCCAATGGCAGATAAGTTTCAGGGCAGGGCATTCTATACAGACAGCACTCATAGAATGGAACAAAATTATTATGCCTCCATTAGACACAAGTAAGCTTTTGACTAAAATGCTCATTGATTTCTCTGAAATTGTCAGTCATCCTCTGTTGCGAAACCATTAAAGGGAAGTGCTATGAGACTCACTGCTAAGTCTGTCCCTTTTTGAGTCTTGTGCATGTGTAAAACATCAGATGGGAGGAGTGGAACTTTTTATACAACCAGCCATATAAAGTGAGTTGTTACATAGAGCTCTAAGTAGGTCTCTGTCATTTTACCTGCTTATAAATAATTACCTAATGTGTTTGTGAAGTGAGGAGGCACGCAACCATGCCCCATAGTTCTTTCTGGTTTGTTTCCTGTCAAAAGATTGCTAATTTTGACAACAGCAAGTCAGTTTAAATTTGCAGTCAATTAGCTTTCTCATCCAGCCTGACAATGTAGTTACTTATTCTTACATGAAATGATCTTTATTTCCCTTCATCTTAATAGTAAATATATTTTCACGTAAGCCGTGTGTATCACACCTTTGTATTGCACATCTCATTCCATATAATTATAAAAGTCTACTCCAGCAGCAGTACACATAAAAGACTGATCATTAACATACACACACACACAAAATCCATAGTTTTAGCATAGTCTTATTTTGCCTGCTCTGAAGAAATTGTGACTTTATTTCTGCATCCTCCCAAGTCTGGATTTAAGAAATGTAGCCCAGGTGTGAGATCACACCAGGAGTGCTGTGACCTGTGTGGGCTCTGCAATATAAGAAAAATACTTGAACACAGTGACAGCAGTGATGCTCAGGGCTGAAGCACACAGTGTAGGAGAATAGGCTGCAGGAGCTTCCTTCACTTCCTTCAGCCTTAGGAAGAGAAGATGAAGCAGGGCCTTACTGCTGCCTTTGGCTCCCTCATGGGTGGTGCAGCCAGGTTTGCTTGGAGGTTCACAGAGACAAGCTGGAATGTGGAAAATTCCTAGTAAATATAAGAACAAGTATTTGCACTAGGAGGATGGCCAGGTACTGGAGCAAATTGAGAGGAAGGTTGAGAAGAATACACGTCCATAGAGATAATTAAAGCTTGACAGCACAAGCTTGTAGCAGTCTGAGCTAAATGGCCTTGCTTTGAGCAAGATTTTGGACTAGTTGATTCTCATCTCAGCCTGAATTATGCTGTGATCTGTGAAGTTTTCAGATATGTTTTTTCCATTGTAAAGTATGTTAAGGAGCTTATTGATGAAGGAACCCATGAAAAGCTACCAAGTATGTGTAATTAAAGATGATGAATATTATAGGTGTGCTGGTAAATAACATCAGTAGCAGCCTTAAATGGACTAATGCTCAGTTTTTTATTATCTTAATTTGGAAGATAGTTTACCTGAGCCTCCTTGACCCCAGCAGATTATCTTCCACACAACAAAGCTGTTTGCCCAGGTGCTCAGTGTGGTTTACAAAGTTCTGAGCACCCAGCTGATACCTATGAGCAAGTCTTAACTGAAACAAATCAAACCATATGAATAAGTGCCTATGCTTTTGCCTTTTCCCTTATATATCTTTCAAACAGTTAAGCCTGTATAGGTTGCCTCAAAATCCAAAAAATAACTTCCTCAGTGCAGCTTTCTTGCAGCTGTGTTCATGTTGCCCAGGTCTACATTTCAGATAGCTGCATCAGCTCCTGCTGCAAATAGAAATTTCATGTGTTTAGCTTTGGCCCAGAATTTTCAGTTAAAAAGATAATTATATTTTACACCCTCTGCTGATTTATTTAACCTGCCCTGGCCTGCGTGGTATGGACTCAGAGCAATCTCATTAGCTCTTTTATACATTAGAGCTGCCCCAGGTCAGTGTTCAATATAATGTTCAGTAGATATAAGCACCTACCAGGTAATTTGCTCATGCAGTGTTTCATTGAATCACACCCATAAGGAACACACGCTTCTTTCAGACTTAACCTTTGTTTTGTTGGGTTGCTTTTAGTGGTCAAATCTGCATACCAGCTTCAGCATAACTTGGGATAATTTTTAATAGTTGTGAACAATCAGCATTGAAATGATTTCCTGAGTATGTGCACACCTTCCATGAGCTAAAAGCTTTTCTGTGTGATTTTTCTTAGGTATTTTAACACTTACTTGAATCAATCTGGATGGCAAGTGGTGATTTTTTGAACGTGCTACCTTTAAAGTGAGAGTTTTGGTTTGGATTCGTGAGCAGTGTACTGAAATGGGTTTTGGCACTGTCTTATGCTCCATAATCTGCTAACAGAGTTTTGGCTCTGCATCTCTGTGGAATATATGTGTGTGTGTGTATATATGTATGTCTGTGTATAGATCACTTGGCAGCAGTCACAGTAAATGTGGGAGTGCAGCACTGTTATTGCAATGAATACCCTTTTCTAACAAATAAAAATACATCTACATGCATGATAGTATTTAATTCTGCCTTCTCACTGTTTTAATGGCTGCACAGACATCAGGGCAGACCTGAGCCCTGGAAGCTGTCTGTCTGAAATACAGCAAAAGAGGAAGAGAGAGCCCTTGTTAAGCAGCTGAAGCTGTGCAGTTTGGTAGGCAACGCTGGTTTCTGCTGTTATCTGACTGAATAGCTGTTTGTTATTCACACGATGATGAAGTCCAGAGCAGTGTGCTGCTTTACTGTGCCTGTGGATTTCATCCTCGTGTCTGTGCTTACCAATCTCCTGTGGATGAGGGAAGCACTGTGTCAGCCAAGGTACCCATCCCGGGTTTCAGCTTCTGGAACATAACATCATGAGCAGGTGCATCCTCTGCTGCGGGAGTCACAGGCATGTATTTCTGTCCTTTAAACATAAGATGGCAGCAAAGCCCCTTCTGTTGTTGATGCTGCCAGAGTGGCTGTTCACCTGGATAGCGGTGATCGTTCTCCCTGTGGATTCCAGTTTCTTTACTTACTATTTCTATAGGGAAAATGAATTGCTTGTACAAAGTGGAATTGCCTAGTGGGGCCATCACAGGCAATGCTTACCAAGTGCTTCTTGGTCTGTGTGCCAGGCTGAGTGGTTCATAGCTTGTTGACAAAGCCCAAGTAAAAATGTCCAGATTTATGAGGGAGAATCTGAAAGGGTGTCTTTCTCCCTTTGTAGGTGAAATACGAAGTATTTATGGTTTCTATTTCTTTCTAAGACTCAAGAACAGAACCTGAAATTACCTGGGAAAGGAGTATTTCCCCGCTTACTACTTCCCAGCTGATAGACAAAGACAGAGACCACGGATGGGAGCTGCTGCAGAGATTTCCTTGCAGGGACTGAGTAGCAGAACAGCTTTTTGACATTTGTTGATGCTACCTGACTGCTACTGCCAGTTGACCTTTGATTAAGAGCAGTGAACATTTCACTCTGTCTGCATCTGCCAGACCTCTTCCTGCTGATTTAAGGAGAGAAAGATCTGCTTTTTTTTGTTTGATCTCTGCAGCAGGTAGTTTGAATGTGATCCAGAGAGCTTAAACTGCCCTTTTGCTCTCTGGATTTGAGTCTCTCACTGGGCCTTCTCATTCCTGTAAGCTCCTTTCTTTATGCTTTGGAAAGCAGATAGTTTCCAGATACGGCAATTTGAATTCCTTTTTCTTTTTCCTCCCTTCTTTTTTAAGTCTGGGGAAACTTTGTCTTGTTTCCCCTCAAGCTGCTTGCCCAGGTCAGAGGAGCTGCTGGTGCTCTGCAGTGTGCCTGGCATGCACGCTCTGTCTCATGTGGACAGCAGTCAAGTAAACTAGGTCTGCTGACAGTCCCAAAATCTGATGGCACGGCAGACTAGAATCAGCATCTGAGAAGCAAGAGCCAGACCCAGATTCATTTAGCCTACATGCTGTTACACACTGGTTTTCAAGCATGGAGGTGCTAATTCCATTTCTGTTGTAAACACGGAGTGACAGGTGCAGTGTGGCTTGCTGGAGCAAGCGTCACACTCTGATGGCTTCTCAGGCCTTGAACTAAGGGAGTCCAGCAATGCTACGCTTTAAATGCCTTAGCCTGTTACTTGTCTCATTTGCTTTATAGATTCTCTATAGATTCTCCATAGTTATGCATGACTTTGCACTGCCGTATTAATGATCTTAAAAAGAGTTTGGAAAGGAGAAATCTGTTGTAATGTGGCTGCGCTGAATAAGGGGAGGGATGGTGTGATTTTGTGGTGCTTATATGAAAGATTGAATTGTCTGCACTTTGGAAAAATGATTTTCCTTCTTGCATTATGGAAGACCTGTGGCTATCAGAAATATGCTGTGTCTGTCAAACTGTACCGGGTAACTTGTGTCATCTTAACTGTATTTGCTTTTTGGACAAATCCTATCCTGACTGCAGAATGTCAATAAGTGCTGTAGCTCCTGTATTTGAGAGGAGTGGACAGAAAAGTGGCAACCTGCCCCAGAAGACTTCAGGCTGGAAGGAGACCGCGGTGTCCCCTTGCCTAAAGTTAGTGTGGGAGGACCAATTCACATGGTCCCTGTTAGAGTCTAGCAGATTAGAGATGTTTGTCAGGAATGTAAATACCGAAATGCTTACAAAGGATGCTCTTCTGTAAAGATTTCTTTCAGTTTGACAGTTACATCTGTAAGAAGTTGTCCAAAAGCATATCTCCAGGAGGGAGATGTATACAAAATGGAAGACCACACGACATGGTGATTATTTTTTAGGTTATGTGGACAATAATCCAACTCATCTGAGCTGCAGGATAGCATCAGTAACTTGGACTCAAATGCTAGCATAGTCACGTTCTGTTTGCTGTTAGCAGTCTGTAGTAGTTGGGTGGTAAACTGAATAATTGGTACCAAACTGTAAAATATGGACTTCTAGCCACATGTGACATCAGTACATGCTGTTGTTTTTTCTTCTAGTTTGAGATCAGGCAGCTGAGGGCCCACCTTGCTCAGCAGGATTTGGACCTGGCTGCAGAGAGAGAGGCTGCGCTGCAGGTCCCACATGTGCTGAACAAGCAGAGCAGCAACAGGTACAAGGTGGTTGCCACTGAAGACTCAGATGATGAAGCCACTGAGACCATCACTGAGTTGCAGTCTCCACGAGGTGAGTGCTGCCTGTGTGCTGCTATCCACGGCACTGTTGTTCCCTTTCATGGAGTGACTGAACCTACTACTTTCCCTCTGCTAGTGAATTTATTCATTTCCCTGGAGACTGCATTTGCCCATTTTTGTAAACAAGCTGTATCTGCTCCAACGTGGCAGAAGCTGTTGCATTTTCGAGCAGATTTTTTACCAGAGCCAATGAAACAACTCTGGATGAAAATGACAGCAATATACCTTCCCAATGTCCTCGTGATTGTAACCCTCAAACACTAAAGCAGCAGCAGCCAAATCAGAATTGGCAAAGCAGTAATCACTCAGAGTTAAAAGTAGGGAAATTGAGAAGAACTGAAAAACAATTTCAGACTTTGGTTGCTTGCAATTCTGTGGTTAAGGGAGGACTTAGGGCTGTTCTAAATTGATGTCATGTCTCTCAGCTTTTACTTTGTCTTTCTGCTCAGAAGCCTGATGCATAAGTCAGCTACTGGTATTCATAGTGTTGTCTTTTTTCATGCTGGTTTTAAAAGTATCGGGTTAAATGTATTAGGCCGGATTACGCTTGCTTGTAAATCTATTGACAGGACAGATTGTCTACATTAGGAGTTAATTTGGACTGTTTTTTATCTTTTTTTTGGCCATCATCACCCAAAAGTCTGGTGTCTGCTGGGAGATACTCAAGTTCTTGTGTTCATTAAATGTTTAAATGTTGTACTAAGGGACGTGGTTTAGTGGGGAAATGGTAGTGGTAGTTGGGCTGGATGATCTTGGGGGTCTTTTCCAACATTGATTCTATGACTCTAAGTGTTATGTGTATGGATTAGAAATATAAGCATCAATGGATAACTGCAGATGTGCAAATCCACAGAAACCAGCGTATTGTATTTTATTCTGTGTTCTGTGTAATATTTTGTGAATTGCTGGAAACAAGACTATCTCTCTTCTACTAGTTCCAGCCATCCTGCTGACTGCACCAGGTCCCAGCCTGCCTTCCAGGTGGCTGCCCACGTACCAACTGTGCAGTTTGCCTTGGTTGGAGGCTTACATTCTCACTAAGTGGTTTAAAACTGCCAATGCTGGACAGCTCAGCTGTGTTTAGACTGGGGGGCTGCAGTGCAAAGAAAGGAGATTTGCACACTGTAGGCAGCTCCTGTGCCTGTGCTGAGGAACAGTCCTGTGGGTTGTCTTTTAGGTGAGATGTGTGGTTCAGGGGAATACTAACAGCTAGATTTACCTACACCCTTTTTTTCATTATCACTGAAGTGCTAGACCAGAAGGCTTTATTGGACAGGATGTAGCTTCTCTACCTGTGTTTCCCAATGCTCATGGTGGGGGAGAGAACGTGCCACTATCTCACTGATGATTAATGTAACATTTCATGTAGTAATTTTTTTTTATCATGATGATACCCAAGCCTTCCATGGAATCCCAATTTTCTTGTTTCAGTGGATGGAGCAGTGTGTGAATACACCTGAATTAGATGTTTAGTTGGGACCTTTATTTGGTTTAAGGCATAGAAATATTTTAATCAAAATACTTATTTTAATCAAAAGCAGTAGGAGAAAAAGCTTATCAGATTCTTTCAAACTATTTTTTTTCATTCTCTACACAGTAATGAAAGTGTGTAGAAATTGCTTCTGTTTTGTCCTCTGTAGTAATGTCTGAGCACTAGCCACAATTCAGCCATTAATTATTCCTGATTTGAAATTGTATTTTAAAGCAGGCAGTTGAGCAGACTGTCCCCTAAAATGCATTTCCCCCTTTTTTTGTAGGATTTCAGAGGTTTCCCCAGTGGATATATTATAATTTATGCATGCGTTCCTTGAGGGTTACATTTGGAACTGTAGAGTGTTGTGCACAATTAGGAGGAGACTTGCTGAAATTACAGTGCTGTGGAGCTTTATCTGATTTTTTTTTTCTGTCCAAAGTATTTGTTCCAGATTAACGCAAGTACTCATGGTGAGTTTCTCACTGTAAATTGCTGGCTCCACGTGCAACAGAGTAGACATATAATCTTGTTTCTATATTGTTAGGTTACATGATTAATTAGAGCAAGTCATGCTTTTCACTGGAAAAAAAAAATGCATCCAGCAAATAAGAAAGCATGCACTACATCACATATGAGGTAAGGTGCAGTTATCTTATGTTTAAACAGTCGAACTGAGAATATAGAATTAATTTTTGGTTCCCAGAAGTCAACTCAAAACATAAGGAAATATTTTTTGTGTGTATCATACCATGTATTATATACAAAGCTTTTGCAGATGAATTCTCATGAACTAAGTTTAACAAGCTAAGTTTAGGTGACTCCATGTTTTACAATTGAACAGAAAGAGTGTCCTATGCTACCTTACAGCAAGGGACAGCCACCTGTGATCTGCCATTATGGTGGAGTACTGATAAGGGGACCAAGATCAAACTGCATGAGAAACCACACTCCCAGCAATAATATTGAGTGTTTTAATCCATAATCCAGAGAACAGTCAACTGAGGCAGAGGATTTTGCATGTAGTTGTCTACATTATTTTGCAGAGAAAAGAAATAATAACGTAACGCATCCATTACACAAGGCTTTGAATACTATTGTAGCAGTGCTGACTTAGAAATTGCTTCTGTGTAAGCTACAGGACTTCTAAACCTTAGCTAACAGCTTGATAAGGCAGTTACCCCAGAAAAGAAAGTCCAGCCCTGCCTGCTTCTTTTACCTCCTCACCTCAATGGGGTCTTTGCTCTCCAGTAACATGCTGGCTGTTGTTGCAGCAGCTTTCACTGGTACCACTTTGGCATCCTATAAGTATTTACAACCATGGCCAATTCTCACCGACACACGCATTGGATAACCTGGATGTGATGCACCACATAGAGGAAGAGCATGTCTTCAGCTCAAGAGTCCTTCATTTGCACAGCATGGAATGGGTATGTGGATGATGTAGGATCTCCTACGTTGAGGGCTTTCCCACCACTTCTACCTGGAGCTGTAAGCCACCAGTGTTTTCACCTCTACTTTTTAGGTCAAGGGTTATGTATTGCAAGTTACCCTCTCTTATCAAACCACAGTAGGAATTCCACTTTAGCATCCACTTTAACTGTGGTTTTTTTTCTTTCTTTAATACTCCAAAGTGACTACTGCAGTTAATCATTCTGTGGGCCACGTGGCATTTGTGAGCTTTGAGAAACATCTGCAATTGCCTACTGCAGTTTGAGGAGAAGTAAGGGACCGGTTTGCTAACACTGCTAAAAGAAAAGCTGCAATTCAAAGTCAGAATTCAGTTGTCGGGCAAAACAGGCTCAAGAGAGGCTCTTCTTTTCTGCTCTGGCAGAACATGAGCCTTACATACAACACCTGAGGGTAGGGTATGGCATAGAATGTATATGTTTGTGCCAAACTTAACTTTGTCAGCCTTCAAAAAGAATTGCCATCTTTGGAGAGCTCTGGATTCTGCCAAACCAGCAAGCTTTAGTTGGCTGGAGAACATACTGCACGCAAAAATGGGATATTCCATCTCAAGCTAATCTTATTTCCCCCGTCTACACTGAACAATGGAAACATTCAGTGCAGAATACTTCATCACAGAGGGGTTATGGAATAAGAAAGCATTCAGTCTTTTTATTCATTTCCATACCTGGGAGTTTTATGGCATAGTGCATAAGTTAAAGCTCCTTGGGGGCAGCTGTAGCTTGTACTCTGGTATTTACACTGGATTTTGTGCAACAATTTACTACAGCATTCAATAAGGTAAGTCGAATAACCCCAGCATCACGTGGTACACAAAGCACCTCTGGGAATTTGTGCAGACACACACAGCATGGCCAGCACCAGGAGCGTACTGCGTGTGCTGCTCTGTAGCTTCCCACACATGTCCTTGCCCAGGAGGGTGGGCATGGTCAAACTCTCAGGGTTTGGATTTGGGGTGGTCCTTTATGGAGCCTGGGGTTGGACTCAATCCCTTCCAACTTGGGTTATCCTATGATTCTGGTCAGATGGTCAGCAGGCTCTGAAAGTGTCCCATAACTCCCTCACTGATACTGTTCTTGATATACTGCTTCTTCAGACACTGAAGAAGAATCCTAAGACAGTAGGAATAACTGTGGAAAAAGCATGGATATATGCTAATTACTACTTAATTTGGCTAAGAGGCAGGAAATGTTTCAACTTTATTTTCTTTGAATGGAGGTTTTATTTGTCCAGCCAACAAACTGCACTCCAGAGTAGGCTGACACACAGGTGTCAGCATGCAGGTCAAAGGCTGTCGTTGTCACTGCCAGGGAAGGTGATGGCCTTGAGAGAAGGGAGGACTCTGGAAGCCACAAGCCTGGTGCATCACTGTGACGTTTGCTGCTCTGTAAGCATCTTATTTGGCTTCACTGCCTCAGTTTCTATAGCGTGACCTGAATGATGATGGTACTCACAGGTTTCAAAATAGCACTGTGGGGTTTGTAAAGAGCTGAGTATGAATGCCATTGCATGTGGGTACTACAGAATCACAGAATGGCCAGGGTTGGAAGGGACCTTGAGGACCATGAATCTCCAACCCCCCTGCCACACGCAGGGCCACCAACCTCCTCATTTAATGCCAGACCAGGCTGCCCAGGGCCCCATCCAACCTGGCCTTGAACACCTCCAGGGATGGACGGGGCATCCACAGCCTCTCTGGGCAGCTGTTCCAGCACCTCACCACTCTCTCTGTAAAGAATTTCCCCCTGACGTCCAACCTCAATCTCCCCTCCCTCAACTTCAAACCATTTCCCTTTGTCCTGCAGCTATCTACCCTTTCAAAGAGCTGATTCCCCTCCTGTTTGTAGGCTCCCTTTAGGTACTGAAAGGCTGCAATGAGGTCACCCCGCAGCCTTCTTTTCTCCAGGCTGAACAAGCCCAGCTCCCTCAGCCTGTCCTCATAGGGGACTATATGTGCCTCCTATTTTATTATGTTGGCTCACGATGTCAGAGGCAGATGTTGGTGGTATGGCAGTAGAGGTTGATCATTCCTGCCAATGCTCCATTGCATT